AAATGTTTCTTTCACAAGAAATGTATAAAATTAGTACTGTATTAGACTTACGGTACCTAATTTACATACTGTACAGACGATAATAAACTCAACTTACTCGCCTAAACTCTCCGTAGCGTGGCGCTAGACGGTGGAATATATATATATATATATAATTATAATAAAGTTACAATAATCTAAGTTAATATATAATTATATAAACAGTACCTAATTTATATATAATTAATATATAATTATATGTACAGTACCTAATTTATGTATAATTTATATATAATACTGTACAGATGATAGTAAACTCAATTTACCCGCCTAAACTCTCCGTAGCATGGCGTTGGATGGTGAAAAGTAGTTCGGCTGCCTGATGACGTTTTACCGAATTATAGGAGTTTTTTTACCATGTTTGTACGGATACTGTCGCAATTTTTTTGCCGTAATATATATAGGAATCCGAACTATAGGAACCCGTGTTATAGGGGGGGTCAACTGTATATTATGCATCTTTGCAATGTTTCAATATTTCTATTAGATTATTATATAATAACTCTTGGTTTTGGTTTATAATGAAGATTTTTGTTAATGTATTTTAAACAATTTTTCCCCTGTATCCTGGTCAAATGGATTAAATTTACAAATAAAATTTGATTATTATTATTGTTAATTTTGTTAACTTAGTGCTTAAATTCTAGATAACAGTCAGACGATTGATCAATGTGTCTCCTAATTCAATAGAATTTCTAATTTAGACTTTTTATAGTCATTTGGATTTTCTCATATATGCAAACCATTTGCAAATAACTAAAAAAATATAACCAAGATGAATGTAAAAAATGTAAATTTTCATTTCTTGTAGTTGCTGAAAATGGAGAATATTCATATACAAACATCTTGAAACCTGATAAATTGCTAATAAGCCAAACAACTAACAGAATAAATTGGGCTAATTTTCCATGATTATTTTAATAAATTTCTAAATAATTTGAAATTAATTAACCCTCCCTCTAGTAATAAATTATTTAGAAATTAATTAAAATCATTGCAAAAAAGTATCCCAATTTAATTTGGTAGTGATTTGGCTTATTAGTAGATAATATTGAGTTTGTAACTCCAAATCATGTTATGGATTGTAATATTTTCTGTAATAAATCTATGATTTTTGAATTCTAAATTACTGCATCATACATGTATAATTTAATAATTACTTTTATATTTATCAGTTCATATTTTTATATATACAATATAACTAAAATTCCAAAGTTAGGCCAAGACTCCACTAGTATAAAAAATGAGCATAAAACACTTGCTATAATTATTTTTAATCACTGGCCATGATATTTTACACTGGAGTATGGTATAAAATGAGTGTAAAGCGTGTTGAGCAGTGTCTAACTTTTGACACAAATATGTCTCTAAAACAGTACTATCAACCAATCAGAAGTCACTGGGCTTCTACATCATTATGACATTATACAAAAATTATGGGAAATGTTTGTTCATTCTCGCTCTTGCTCTCACTGTTTTGATGCTTATTAAGTTATCTGATTTGTTTAACTTTAGTTAAGAACAGCCAAGCTACAATGTTTTGTTTCTATCAATTTACATACAAAAATGTAGTTACTTTTGACACTAGGTGGCAGTACTTCCACTGTAAAAATGTTCACTAGTGGAACAGGACCTTCAAGTGCAAACACAAATAGTTACATGATTAAAAATAATTAAGAGTGATTTTATGCTCATTTTTTATGCTAATGGAGTCTCAGCCTAATAATAAAACAAATCTAAACTGTTGATTAGTTTTAGGTTACATTTAAGCTAATTTTAATTCATTTAATGTTGAAATCTGGTCGAAAAGTAGACAGTTTAATGTGTAAAAAATTACTTTTTAATTATTAATTTTTTACACATGATTTACTTTTAAATTTTACCCTTCAAACTGGGGTAAAATTTAAAAGTGAAAATTTGGAATTATTTCTCAAAACAATGCTAAAAATCAACTGTTTTCCACTTTATTAATACAGCTAAAGATCATAAAACACAAGAAATGCCATTGAATCAACTACTTCTGGATTGCAATCAGAGTCACACCATGCACTCCATTAAGACTATCATGTATTTAAAAACCAGATAGGCTGATTTCAGGAAATCTATATCTCACAAAGGGTCACATGTGAGACCATCAGTTCTTCTGAATTTTTACTCCTATAGACATTGTCTGCAGTGAAAAAGTTCTAACCATCTCTTTTAGAGCTGCATTTGTACCCATGATGGTAGTATAACAACTTACCTTCAGGTGAAATTTTGACACAATAAAAATTAGCTTAAATTTATCCTGAAAATCTGGCTATTTAGTTTTATGCTTCATATTTTTATTGTTATAAAATTTATATATATCAAATACTTTATAAATTTCTATATCAGTTGGAGATGCAAGTTCCTGTGCTTCATCACCTGCAATATCTATTCCCACTACTCCATCATTTTGATATTTTTCACATAAATCCAAAACTTCTTGAGACCATTCTAAAAAAATAAAAATGAAAATGATGATATTTTATTATTTCCCCATAGAAAAATTATATATACTATTTTCTTTCTAGATGATCAAAATGTATTTATTTTATAAATATTTTAAGATGTTATACTATTAAAACCAACCTGGATGGCCTCGGATGCAACATAATATAATTTTTGTTTTGATATTAAAATCTTTTTGACCTTTATTCATGCCTTTAATAACAGAATTTAAAACTTCTTCAGCAGATAAATTTGATTCTTGATTTGGCGAAGAACAACATAATTGTGGAGAAAAACGCATTTCAAAATATAATACACCTTCTTTTGCTTCATCTTCACATAATTCATAGGCTATTCTTTCTAATGCTTCTGGATCACCACTAAATAAAAATTAAATATCTTAAAATATTTATATATTAAGCACACAAATACATAAAATATATAATCATACATTTAATATATTATTTATTTTTTACTATAAAGCAAACATTTTAAAACAATTCTTTCTATTCTATAAAGACTAAAACGGCTTTCATTCATACCCATCATGAATACGAATAAAGGCCTTTCAGAAATTTTTATAAATAGTTTGGTCCAGCCTAACTATAAATATTTCTGAAAATTGGACTCATATGCCTTAGAACAGCAGGCTCCAGGGTTTGCTATACCCAAATACTTAATGTTACTGTACTGAACAATTTTGCAACACCAAAAACCATTATTTTAGCATTTATACAAAAACATTCAGTCAATTATCTTCCAACTCTTGCAAATCTAACAATTGTTTTATGAGAAATTCATAAGAGTGAGAAGTATTCAAGTAGAAAAATTATGTAATCACTATGAAATAAAATTATTGGGATTATTTGTTTTATTATAACTAGTGCACATGCTGTAATAATAAACAAAAGAAGATATTTTTTTTAATATGATGATAAGAAATCATCATTAGTTCTCTGAATATATTAAAGGGGATGTGTGTTAAAATTCTATACTAGAGAAGAATTACTATACAGTGTTTTTGAAATTCCTGTTACAAACTTATAGAACAGATTCCTTTAGAAAAACTAAGATAAAAATCTTCAATAACATTTTTTGAATAGTCTTTATTAAGGAGTTATAGAAATTTAAAGTTCAGTGATATCACTTCAGGGTTTTCATACAAATAAGGCCAAATTCATGTTTTTATTTAGATTGATTAGTTAGAATGCTTTTATTTAGATTGAAAGGTTTTTAAGAAAAAAAAGAGTAGATTCATCTTAAAATTTTGTACTTTATTTTTACGTATTTGAAAGCAATGTTCTTTTTATAAAAATGTGTAATACAGTGATACCTCGACTTACACGAACCCGGAGTTACGGGATTTTCAAATCTTGTTGATTCGTCTTTTGTTTGAGCACCACGCAACTCTTGATTATTCATTCTCTCCACACTATTGTTCAACTTACATGTTCGGACGTGTCGCACGGAATCGACACATAGCTAAAATTTATTTTGTGTTATTTATTTATGTGTTTGTTATGTCTATGGAGACTCGAGAGACTATGTGGTGATTTCTTGTAACAATGAACGAATCAAAAGACGAGATAAGATTAACGAGAACATTTATTAGCTTACATACATCCAGTTTTACATACAACTTGGATTTTACACACATTGAGAAATTATACCCTGACTTACGTGAATTCGACTTACGTGGTTATTGCTCAGTCCCACCTATCGCGTAAGTTCAGGGTATTACTGTACTTCTTAATGCTGGCTCTCCACTTAGTGCAATTTTGAGGTGATTCAATTGACTTTGTCACTGCTCATCTGCAGGAAAATCACCTTCCAGTTAGAGTCGTTCTCAAATACTTTGGTTATAGCGTACTGGAACAACATAAATTTTCACATGGTCACAGCCAATCAGTATGCAGCATCCATAATTCCAAGTGTATGTGATATCATATGTTTACCCATTATCATTAGCACTGCATACAGCATAATTTAGAAATTTTAAAAAGATGAAAAAATAGCAAATACAGCAAGACCCCGCTTAATGCTGATTCGATATAACATGGTCTGCTCGAAGCCTAAAAAAAGCTCAAAATTTATGCTGATTTAAATTATTGCAGCATTTCATTGATTCATATATAATATGATTATTTGCGAACACAAACCAATCAGCAAAAGGTGTACTTTCTTTAAATCTATGTTTGTTTGGTGCAATTTTAGAAAAAATATAACATCATGGATGACATAAGCAATATCAGCTTTGCTTGGAAAGAATTAACTGATAAATGCACAAATGAAATGTGGAAGAAGTTATCACTGTAGGTATCCAAGGATTATCAATGAGAAGAGCCCATTGCTGTATCGTTAGGTTGACCAAATTGTCAACCTAATCGATACAGCAGGACTAGGAGATATAGACGAGCAGGATATTGAGGAGTTACAGCAGGTTTTTGATGAGAGCCTTAGCAACGACGACCTTCAAGAACTGGCAGAACAAGGAATTCATGTAGAACTGGAAAACAGAGATTCTGAAAACAAAGAACCCAAAAAATTTCTCTACAGATTTCCTTAGTAAAAATTTGTTAATGATAACTGAAATTGTTGATCAAATTGTAGCAAATGATCCAGATTTTGAAAGGAGTGCAAAAGCAAAATGAGACATTTTGAATGCAATCTGCTACTGACATTTGATTAAGGAAAGAAAACAGTGACAAATGAAACTTCACAATTTATTACAAAAAAAACAAGAATTTCAGAAAAATCAGAACTTTCATCACAAAAAATGAACTTTACATTTCTGTGTGCATATGTTTATATGTACTAAAAATTAAAATAAAATTTGTTTATTTTTGGTCACATGTTCCCGTATTCCTATTTACTCTATGTTAAAATGACCTTGTTTAACGCTGTTTCGTTTAGCACTTTGTCATCTAGGAACGCATCCTCCATGTTAAGTGGAGTCTTACTGTATTAGATTTTAAGAATTAAATTAAAAAAATATAAAACGTTATTTTAAGTTAAAAGTTTTGCTGCCATTTTTAAAAATTCCTATAATTCATTGGAAATCATCTTTCATTTCACATAGCATTCATAGGGCAGTGAATGCATTGCTCTATAAATCATCGGGTGACAGCAAAGCAATTGCACTAAATAGAGAGCCAGCATAAGTGTTTGTTTTGCTTTGCATTCTGACCTGATCCACTACTTTGGTATGGAGACCTCCAACATCTATGCAAATGTTTTATCTGCAAAGCATGTTCTGGTACACTCACTCAAAAATACCTGGTGTGTGTTGAATTTCTTGTGAAGCAACCATAATTTATGCAAGTAGATCACTCTTCTTTATAATATAAGCTCCCCACATCTGCATATTTTATTTTAATTTTTTATACCTGTTTCATGATGATAATAATTTACATAAAACAAATAATTTACATAAAAGTAAAAATTTACTATATTCACATAAAAAGTATTTGTTTTAATGAAAATAAAACACAAAAATTCACTAGCTTTATATTCACCCAGATAATTTTTCCAAAAAAATGAACATTTTCGGTCAACTTCTAAGACCTGCTTCAGGTGCAAAAAATTTTTAAAAAGATGGAATTTCTAATATTTTGATGTTCTAATATGTCGAATGTAGGAGAGCTGACACACAAATTTGAATAAAAAATTTTTTTTTATAGAATTGACCAATAGGACATGTCCAAATGTAAAAGTTCTAAAACCATTTTTCANGTTGCAGTTTCTTCACTTTCTTGGTCATCAAAATCATCATCTATTTGTATTACGTCGCAAGTTTGTATACAAATATTGTGAAGAATGCATGCACCAATAATTGTTTTTACAATCAGATCCATTCGACACATGTCTAAAAATTTTAATCGCCTGAACCGTCCAACAAGATGTGCAAAAGCACGCTCAATTACATTTCTACACTTTGCTAATTTATTATTATACAGCTTTTGCACGCTGTTGAGATTCCTGTTATCTCGATATGGTGTAAGCAAATGTTCAGATAATGGGTAGGCACTATCACCCAAAATATGGCCACAGCTGAAAAATCCATCTCCGGTGTTTACTCTTTCGTGCAATGCTGATCGTCGGAAAACACAGGCATCGTGTACTGACCCTGCTTCACCTACATAGCAGTCTAAAAATGCCATTTTTTCATTACAAACTGCTTGTAGAATAACAGAGTAATACTTATTTCTATTGAAATAAGCTGCTGCTTCTTCAGTTGGTGCTTTAATGGCCATATGCTTTCCATCAATACAGCCTATAATTCCTGGGAAACCAGACTGGATATAAAAAAATTCCATTGATTTTTCAGCATCCTGCTTCGATGGCCAAAAGATTATTTTTTCATTTTCATTTACTATTAAGAGAGAATCAATAACCTTATTTAAAATGTTCCATGCTGTACGTCGAGACACATTAAACCGATCACAATGCCTCTAGAAAAAAGGAAAAACATATATATTGTATTTAATATCAATTAGTTTTTTTAATTTTAAACTAAGTTATACCATTGTACTTATATGTCTTAAGACTTACGTCTTATATCAGGTAATTAATAAATTTAAATGCTATTCATTTAGAAATTACAGTATTGTATATCAATACAGAGAAATCGGTTTGGAAGAGAATGTGAACAGACGCAAAATATGAACAAAATATTCATTTGTAGCGCTCCACGTCGCAAAGCACCGTCGTTGCGCTTTGCGACGTGGAGTGCTACAAACGAACATTTTGTTTATGTTCGTTTTTAAGACAGTTAAGTCTTAAAATCAGTAAACTAAACCTAACTGCGTAAAGCCCATCTTATTTTTTATCATCAGTACTGCTACTCAGAGTACAGCTAAGGCCGCTTGATCGCGTTGCTACGAGCAATGTGATCAAGCGGCCTTTGTCAGCGCGCGCTGCGCTGCATCATGGAGCATCGTTGCATCTGTTCACTGGGTAAATCAATCCTATATATATGTATAATGTGACAATCTCTCATATACTATATCTGATGTCATATATTATAAACTAACCTGAATGATTCTTGATTTGCCAATGTCCATAAGCAGCATAAAAGCTGCTTTTGAGGAGACACAGGTTGTCTTCCAGGGTCAGTAATTCCCTTTGTGTCTAAAATTGGACTTATTTTTTTAAGGAGAGCTTCAAAACATTCTTTCATAAGTCTAAAATGTTGTTTAAAATCGGTTGGGTTATAAAAAGGAACCGTCTCTTCAACAAAGGTTTCTATCTTTTTTATGGATCTTGCTTTTCTTTTTTCTTCTTTCATTTTTTCCACAATTATATTCATAATAAGATCATCGTCGTCCGATTCGGAATCAAGTAATTCTAACTGTAATGTAACATTTAAAATAGCAGCTTTGACAATATTATTGATGCTGGAAACCGCCATACTTCTTGTTAGCATATGCGTATACTTTCGAACTGGACAAGCAAGCACGAGTACACGTGCTAATGATGTCACATCCGGTGTTCAGAATTAGCGCTGTTAACTCAGAAGTAAACGCACCCTTAGATTTTATAAATATGTGAGCCATTCATAGCCCGGCACATGTATTTGTAAAATCTAAGTGACTCACACAATATGGAATTCATATAACATGGAATTATCTACAATGTTACAGAGTCTACTATAAAATGATATGTAATATGTATTAAACATTTTTTTAAATGAAATTACATAACAGATGGCACCANATATAATCAGTATGTTTTTTAAAAGAAAACTATTCTAATCAACTGCATTAATCAGATTATTCTATTTTTATTGAAATTATATAATAATAAAAATAACAACAAAGTCTTTACAATCCAGCATTTAATTTAGGATAAACAAATTTATTTGGCTAGCTTAACTAGTCATTGTCAGATTTGAACCACACATTAATACAGGATTCTAGAACATTGGTTGAAAATTATTCAAACATAGTATATATTACAGTACATTTAAGCTGTTCTATAATAAAATATTAGCATTGAAACTACAGGATTATAACAGTGACAATAAAAATTACAACAGTATTAATAACAACATTAAAAAATATACTGGAATATATACTACATTCCAAAAATTTTCAGCCGTGTTCTAAAATCCTGTAGTTTCATGTGATTCAAACTGGTGATGGCTAGTTAAGTGAGCTGAAAAAGTCTGTTTATCCAAAATTAAATGCTGGATTATAAAGATTTTTTGTTTTTATATTAATTTTATCCATTTTGATATTGCATTGGTTTGTTATGTATATACTTAAAGATTAAGAATGAAAGTTGTTACCAGAAGTATTCTTTATTTTGTCATATTGTTCTTAATTCACATATTTATTTTATTGAATATAACTTAATTCTTTATTTATTTATTTTTGAAATATATAAAAGAATTGATTTTGTAGGGGCTGGATGATTCGCATTCACAAGTGTACAGAAATTGAACGTGATCCCGAGGAACCGAATTCAGCTTATGCATTTCCAACATTTTTTGTTATTTGCACTAAAATGAAATCATCTAAAACAATGAAATCAGTAAGGTTATTTTACACATTTAATTTTTTTAATTTATTAAATATTTTATTATACTTTTTTTTTACAGCTAATTGAATTAGATATGGATGGAGAGCTGATTCGAGTAGAAACTAGTGATGAAGTTCTTAAAAGTATTAAAGCTATGCAAGAATATACACTATATTTGCATTATATACAAAATAAGTAATTCGGTACTTTATTATTTTTATCTAGAAGCATTGTTCATGAACATAAGCATTTTGCCTTTTTTTTAACATTGCCAAATGTTTTAAATTTAAAATTATTTCAATAATCTAGAAGAAAACTTTGAAAAGTTCATAAAGAAAAAATATTTATATATACATAATAAATCACAATCTAATATGTTTATATTGCCAGTCTGTCACCTTATCTATCAGACTGTATTAAGTGTGTAAAGCCACGGTGGTCAAATTCTGGCTCCTGTATATTTTAATTATTATAAATAATAATAAATATATAGGAATACATATCCATTATATAAAATAAAGCTTCAATAGAGAATGTGGCTCTTGTATTTCTGATATGCAATATATGGTTCCTCTCTGATACCAGGTTTTGCTAGTTCTGCTGTATAGTGTGTAACTGACGATTACAGTTATATTTAAATGAACAAATAGTTCTAAAAATGAAGATTGAATGGAAATCTGAGTAATACTCTTATAACTGGCAATGCATCTATACGATAAGCAGGAATTACTGGTTCAGCCCTGCTCCGGGCTGATTCTTTTTTTCCAAAACATTATAATAATATATGGCATAATTTTTTGACAAGACTATCTTGTTTATAAAATCGTGGTGCCATTACGAGTGCACACCTTAGAGTTATAAGGGAAACATGTCTGGAGTTGCAATTTGGCACAGAGTATTAGGTGCCCAAATCATGCACACACAAAAAAATCAGACTTGTAGGTACTCTGGGAACCAAGAACCGAGTCAAAATAAAATACAAAATGGCAACATTTTTCTACAAACAGGCAAGAGTGCAAGATTTGCACATGCAAATCGTTGGGAAGTTGGAAATCTGAACATTGTGAAATTGAATTTTGACAAACAAATCTTTGAAAAAACACATTTACTTCTCTGGTTGTGACCTGCTGACCTTGACCACTTGACCCAGGATATTTCGTTTCAGTATCAGAATGTTTTTGAAATTAGATGGCGCTAATTGTTATAATTTTATATTAAAAGTAACTTCCAAAATATAATTGTTTTGTTTTTACATTTACTAACATATTTATTTTGTTTGTGCAAAATAAAAAAATAATTTCAGATGGTACAATAGCCACAATTATTTTATTCAAAAACAGGAAATTTACATTAGGCATCAGTAAAAATTCCATCCGGGGCGACATGCAACAGGCAGAAATTTCAACATTGGGTAGGTAAATTTAACCGAAAATGGCTCATGGAGTCGTCCATGAGCCTTTTTCGTGGCTGAGGTCAGTGAAGTTTGAATGATCGTATCAAGCCCTGAGTCTCTGAGACATAGTCTTGTCCCAAAAATCGGCCTTGCCATTTTACTTGCTCTCAATGTTTTTATACCTTGATTTACTTTTCAAACTTTATTTTCAACTTTACAATAATTGAATGCAATGTATATTGTATTACATTGTAGTAAGTATTATGCCATAGTACTTCTCGAACAATGATACAATATACTAGAAAAATATATTAATTATGTATGAACAAAGCTTACTCTTATCATTTAAATAATACTTTCAATATATTTATTGGAATATATCCTCTTTTTATGATTTTTACAGGTAATCTAAAGTGAAAGTTTATTATAACTATACATTTAGCAGCCCAAATACAATCAAATCTAGTATAGTAACATTTCTGGGTATGTGAAAGTCATTTCTGTAAAAAAAAAATTAGTATCAAAGTTGCCAACTATGGCACTTTTGGCACTGCAAGCAACAAACAATTTATTTGCACAAGACACTCTTGCTATATAGAGACCTTAGCAATGCAGGAGATATACTGCTCTGTGTGGTCTCTTCTCCAAAGATGTAAAATCTGAAAGTAATGAACAGTATGTTCAACAGATGGCCATAATTGTGAGAAGCATCATAGATTTTCTGTAATGCTTCCTAAACGCAGTATGATACTGTCTATCAGGCTGCCAAATTTGCAACATGCCCTTGATAAACTACACTTTAAGTGGATTCCTTTATGGCATTTTTGCACTGCATTGCCTGTATGACCAAAAGAGCCATAGTGCTGAGTTTTGGTACTGATTTTTTACAATTATATCTCAGAGTATGTAGAAATGTGTTCTGCATACTCTGAGATATAATTGTACTAGATTTGTTTGCATTTGGATCGATATATATCTCTCTAAATAGCATTGAATAGAGATACTTTAATTACAATTACTTGCTATATCAATATGAAAAAATTAACATAGAAAAAATAATTTTTGTTAAAAGTTTTATAAATAATAAATACATATAAATCTTTATTTTCTAATTTTTTAATCTTAGAAAATTTGTGGACGAAGACGTTAATCTAGAATTGTACGATTCAAAAAATCCAAATCCACGTTATGTATTTTATATTATTGATCAAAAATCATATGCACCCGTAAAGTTTGCAGTCTTCATAGTTCCTCAAGGCAGGTAATGTATCAATTTTTAAATAAATAAATGAAATTTTTCTTATATGATGATGATTTTCTTATGGTCTGTAGAGAAATGGAGTGGATGTTTGCAACTACGGCTGGTAGAAAGCAGTTAATTGAAAATGCAGGATGTGAAAGATTGGTTGTTGTTCATTTGAATCGAAATCATAATTATACTAATCTGGATGAAGTTAAAAGGGAATTGTCTTCTAAAGTAATGGAATTTGCACAGAGTGATTTTACAAAGAATGTAAAGGTGAGTGAATAATGTTTTTGACTTTGTTCAAAAACTTTTTATATAAAAGTTAAATAAAATTTATGTGGAAAAAATCTACATTTAAGAGTTAGATACAAGGTATCTCAAAAATCCTTTGGTCATTGGAGAAAATATCCTTCTAACTTGGACAACCTTCACCCCCCCTATTAGTCTGAGATAGTAGGGATTTACTGTATTTATACAATACTGAATTTAATGGCAGTTTTACATTGTGTGAGTGTGAGACACTTGACAAGCACAGACTTATGAGACCCTTTATATAACTTTATATTATATAAAGATTTGTATCAGATAATGTGTGATATTATAGAAGATCTAGGATCAAGTCTGAGTGTCAACATGCACATCAAGACACTCAGTATTGATCCAGTATTGGCTAGGATCCTATAGCAGACCAATGTCTAGTCTGCATATATTTAAAATCCACACTTACAATAAAAAAAAAGGTGAGATATAAGAAATATCTAAAACTATTAATCCATTACAATCATTATTAATGTAGAAATTTGAATACAAAATCGACAATATATTCTGAAGTATCTAAAAAACTCGCTATTTTAAAAAAGTTTTACAGTATTGGAATAATTTTTTTATTTTTAATAATGGTTACTTCAGAGATGTTGCAAAATAGTTACATTTACATTTAATTTACATTGACATGGTAATACAGTGCCAAGACAAGCTGGTAAACACAAGAGCATGTTCTATGTTTCAAAACTGCAAAAACAAGAAATTTTCACCTGTTAGAGCTTGCTCTTATTTTCACAAGAATATAGTAGCATTTCTGAACATGAGAATCTTTTGCTTCAAACTCTAAGAAAATAACTTTATATTTATGGAGCTACAATGTGTTTTATAATTCTAAAAATGTATAAATTTTGCTGTTAATTTTTGCAACTTTTTATACATAAAATAGTCAGATTAGACTATTAAATCTTTATCATTATTTACTTTATATAATTAAAATATTAATATTTTTAGGTACCATTCATGTCTGTTGGTCCGGATATCGGACATAGAACGATTTGTTATAATGGTAAAAGTGAACTAAGTGGAGAGTACATTATTGAAGATGTTCAGGGTGAAGGAAAACAGACTTTTCGGAGACTCGTGTTTCTTCAGAATCAATATGTGATTCAGTCGGAAGCACGATTAACCATCGGTAAATTGCATATTCAAAATATATTCTTATTAACAAAATAAAAAATTTTTAAAAATTTAAAAGTTAAATTTTATAAACAAATTATAACAAATGTAGAATTTTTAGAAGTTAACACAACGAGTCTGAATGGATTTTGATTTTTAAAACATATTTTAATCATTTATGGCTTCAACAAGAACTTTTTATTTACTTTTGAAAATAGCAATTTGGTCTGTAAGGATAAAGCCTGGCAACTAGTATCCAAGAAAATAATATTTTAATTATTAAAAAAATTTCAGTTTATATAAATTGTTTGTAGATGGCAAGCTGTAAGTTTTATTTCAGAAATAGTAAAGAAAAATAAGAAGACAAAGAAAGGTAAAGTCACGAAGAATATTGATTTCAATTATTTATCATGTCAACACCACATTTACATGTTTTCTGGTTTATCATTTCTTTCGTCTCAAATTACTGGTAAGGTGACATTATGAATTTTCGAATCACACTTTTAAATAAGATATGTATTAAATAATTGGATTTTAAAATCTTTATTTTAGAAAAAATTCGTGTTTTAATGGTTGGATTAGGAGGAGGTTTATTGCCTATGTTCATGACAAGCCACATAAAACAGGTATTTATTAAATAATTTTTTTATTTAATTTAAATATAAAAAAGAACAATTTTATAAAACATATTAATCTAGCAAGTAAGTAAATTTTTTTTCTATAAGTTATTCAAATTGTAACATGCATTTATATGCACATTTGTACACTTTAAAAAAAAATTTTTACATATGTGTGTTCTCAATTAAATACAGAAAACAGAAGATATTTCAGTATATACAATGTCTAAATTAAATTTAAAAGCAATTACGGGTAGTCTTCTATCAATAATTAACTTGAAAAAATTAAAAAATTTTGACATTATTTATATTATGTTATAGATTATTTTTATCATGAATTAATTATAAATGGCAAACTAATTTGGCAGTTCAGTTATCATTGCCATAACTAGGATTTTATGTACTTTGAGTAAACTATTAAACTATCACTATGTATAGTGGAAACTCTATTATCTAAAACATCTTATTGAAACCCAGAATGTGTAGCGTTGTACTGTACATACCACAGAGATCAAACTCACCACGTAACTGGAAATCACTAAGTCATCTGACAATTGTAGTATCACAAAATTAGGTTGTTCGTATAACATTACATTAGATTTTGAGTAAATTAATTTAACTTCAGGTACAGTAGTCGCCTACAGTATTTGTTGTTTGTGAAACTTTAAATGCACAGTGCTTGATGTACACAAAATACAAAAGTGAGTTTCTAGATTATCAAGTTCTCTCTGTAGCTCTCAGAGTAACAGTAAACAGTATTTTTATTAATTTTACAAAATATTTATTGAAATATACATTTAAGTTTCAGAATGTAAAATCCACTTTTGTCTTTAAAAAGCATTTTTTGTCTTTAAAAAGCATTTTTTTGCACTTTTAACATTACTGCACCCAAAACAAACATCTTATTCTTGCCATAATACTGTTAATGGCAATACAGTAAACCCTTGATTTAATCAAATGTTTTAAAAACATATATTAATAACAGACTTAACATTTTAACACACCTTGACACCTTTAACACAACATGATATACTCATTTTCATGAAATCAATGCATGAAAACATTATAAATAAGTTATTGTATAGAACTGAGACCAACATTACATAACTTTTGTATCTAAATTACTCTTAGTTTAAGCTGTTTCACCTTCAATTTGAATTAAACAACTTGAAGTCTTACTTTCACTTAATTATTAGGTTAATTCATTATAAAATACATTACTGTAATTTGCAGATAAAGTATCCGTATTGGATATACAAATAATTAATTTTTTCCTGCAGTATTTTCATCTTTTAATACCACATAGACTTGTAAACTGGGTGCCACCATACTGAAATCTACAAAATGCTAGTGTTGCCAAATATTAGTAATGACATACATAAGGGTTGACTGTTTCTAATTGAATGATCTTCTCTTTCTCCCTTTTCAGTTAGAATGTGTTCATTCAAAGTTCATTCAAAAGCCACCTTATGGTCTTTCTTTGAGCACAGTTTCCTTTACTTGGAGATGGGCCACTTTGGCGAGATCATCTGTAGAATCTGTCAGCTCTTGATGCTGGTTTCAAATGATTGGATGGCTGCTGTTTGAGTCTAGACCTAATCACGCACACATCTTCCAACTTGGTCAAGAGACTTCAAAAAATTGTCTGGGAGTCTGTGTCCTTCACTTTTAAGGGGATTGTCCAGTCCAATCCTGAGCAGGGTCAGTAGTTTGCATTATGGTCTGCCTCAGACAATAATATGTCAGATTAGGATTCTCCAGGTACAAGAGGATCCTAATCTGTTATTTCCTTGGCCAAGGAGGTTTCCAAAATGAAGAAACTGAAATGCATCAAGAAATTGAAATGGCTGTTTGATACATTAACCTTTGCAACCAACTAGTGTGCTGGGATAGCATCAAATCTTCCTGATACCTAGAAATAGCATTCAAATATTTATATATATCAAGAGTTAATAATAAACTGTAAAATATTATCAGTTAATTATTTTATAGAAATGTTTTGATTTGTATTATAAATTGTTAAATCAGGATAATTTCCTAATTTCAGATTTATATAGATGTTGTCGAATTAGATGAAGAAATTTTAAAAATTGCAGTCGAGTGGTTTGGATTAGAACTAAGTGAAAAGCTGAAAGTTCATATTGCTGATGGAATAGACTTTATTAATAACTGTGCCCAGAGAGGTTAGTTAATAATATAATTCTTAAATATTTATTGAAAATTTGACATGTAATAATTTTTGCAGAAGAAAAATATGACATAGTGATGTTAGATGTTGATAACAAGGATACCAGTGCTGGTATAAGTTGTCCACCATTATCTTTTGTTCAAGAACATTTCCTACAACAAATCAGGAAATTGATTGATTCAAAAGGTAGGTATCTCATTGGAAATAATTATTTAAAATTTAAAAAATCTCTAACATAATTTTCCATAAATTGTAAATCTAATGATATAACTTACAAATAATCATTTATTTCATATGCATCATGTTCAGTTATCTCGTATAGACAGGAATGGAAGTGGTCCAGGCAATATAGAATCATATGTAATATGAGTTGAATTTGGAAATCATTTATGAGACAGGTTCAATAATGAAATAAAAGTTTTATTCATTTTCAATCCTGTTTGGTAAATATGTGGTTTCTTGGAAATGTGTCTAGGAGTGAAATGAGATGTTTAGAGAAACATCACTGATTGAAATCCAATTTATAGAAGCACCAAGCTAAGATTTTTTTTAAAAATATGGAGGGATTCAAGAATATATATATATAGAGTAGATATATACTTAGGTTAAAAACATCATCAAAAAATAAAATAGAAATAGTGACACTGGAAATTGACAAACCCTCACAAAATTTTTGAACAAGCAAGCAAAAGCAAGGTTTGGGATTGACCAAGGAAGGTTGAGCAAAGTGTGAGTGGTGATTGGTTAGCCTTTAGTGAGTTGATCATCACAAAATTATTATTATGAATAGTCTGTATTGAAACAAGTGGGGCAAACAAGCAAAGAGAACCATGCAACCACAGAATTGGAACTTTTTTTGTGAGAAGTTAGTCATATGTTCAACCAATTTTAAAAAATTCATTTTTTTGTTCAAGAATCTGAAGGTTATTCTTTGATTTAATGGAGTCTGAAAAATTTTTGCGATTTGAATAAAAAATTTTTTTTTATAGAATTGACCAATAGGACATGTCCAAATGTAAAAGTTCTAAAACCATTTTTCACACTTCAGTGTTGCAGTGTTACAAATTGTGTCTTATTAAAATTCAGATGTACTCGCAAGCATTTTCAATAGCTTATAGCTATCATCCTCAGGAAAAAAATTGAATACAGTAGATCCCCCTATAAGACGGTAGATACGTTCCGTTCTTTATGAATCAATTTTGTAGGAATCATAGTTTACGGACTACGGCTGTTTGAAAGGTTTTCTTTCATAAAATTAATCGATTCTAGACTAATTCGACTCAACATTTCCAAAATACGTATATTTTTTTGAAAATAATCCGTATAAACTACGTTATAAACAAAAAATTGTAGGATTGCTTACCGAGTGTGTACCGTTCGACTACGCCCGTTGCTAAAGCTTGGTTTCGTCGCGGAACAGCGCATCAAACCGCGGCCGCGATTTCTGATATTATTTTTCTGCGAAAACTTCGTTGACCTTTGGAGACATCATTAATATAAATAATTTTTATGGCCGTTGAATAAGAAATGTTTCTTTCACAAGAAATGTATAAAATTACAGTACTGAACAGACGATAGGTCGCCTAACTCGCCGTAGCGTGACGCTAGACGGCGAAAAATATATATATAATTATAATAAAGTTACAATAAATTAAGTTAATATATAATTATATATACAGTACCTAATTTATATATAATTAATATATAATTATATGTACAGTACCTAATTTATATATAATTTATATAATACTGTCCAGACGATAGAAATCTCTCCGTAGCGTGGCGCTACGGACGGCGGGTAAGTAGTTCGGCTGCCCGATGACGTTTTACATATTATAGGAGTTATTTTTACCGTTGTTTACGGATAATGCCACAATTTTTATAGGAATCATAACTATAGGAAACGCTTTTATAGGGGGATCTACTGTACAATTATTTTCGAATGTTCAGCTTTTTAACGGATGTTTCAAATTATGCAATGCACATAGATGAAATTCAGAATAAAATATTAAAATTAAAATAATTTCAAAATTTATAGAAATGTGCTGTAATGATGTAATATCCCAAAAATACTTAAAAAGCATATAATTATGCTGTATTTGGCTGTGGTATAACTGAGAATGCAAAATTATAATTTAAATTGTTCAAATAATGTTATGCATAGCTGCAGGATTTCCAATGTCAGCGCATTGCATGGTGTTACAGTGGATATGTAAATGTTCTCCCATATAACTATTTCTCTTCGATCGCTGCACCGCTTTAAATCAAAATATGCTGAAAACAATCAGAAAATTCAATTAAATCTTCAAAACTACAGCAATTAATGAGAATACATCCATTTGTTGAAAATTAATAGTAATTAACAAGTTTAAAAATAGGCAAATAATGCTTAAAATTAAAACTAATAGTAACACACTCAAATTCTTTCTGTTGAAATTAAAAAAAAAATATTTTTGATTGATATAATTAATGATTTTCTTGTAATGCTTTGTATGATAATTTTGTAATGTGGCATGTGCCTAGTCAACCATGACAGGACAAAAAGTGGCCCATTAGTACTTGATGAGTCGTGATTTCAATTGAATAAATGAAATTTTAAAAAGATACTTACGAAATTGCAGAAATAATAATTTCACAAGGTTTAAGGAAATTCTTCAGACAGCTCGGTTTAGTAATAAGGCAAACTTTAGTAAGTTCTTCCAATGTTTTATATTCTGGATATAATTTTTTCTTTCTAAAATTAAATCAAAAATATGAAAATTAAATTTTATCAATTTTTATAAATTATTGCTATGATAAAATATACTGTACTGTATATAACAAAACAAAAATGAATACAAACAAGCTGAATATGAATGAACTTTTATACACTATAATAAAATATAGACAGTACTGATTGCAATAGACATCTGTTTTCTTGCATATACCTCAGTTGTCTACACTATGCAATAGGAAAACATCATATGATATAAATTCAGCATTAATATAAATGTTTAAATTAAGAAAAAATAGTGCAAGATAAAATAATGATAACATAATTTGTAAAGAAAGACTTGATTTTATTGCAAAAGTATTTAATGAAGGCATTACAATTGTTGTTTATGTTCTTTGAGAGAGAAATTGAAAAGTTTAAGAATTTAATGCTTATACACCAAAGTATTTTGAATAATAAGTTAAATACGTAACCAACACCTTATTACTCGCTGAGAGATTTTTTATTAAAACAAACGTTTTCGATCCATTCAATAGATCATCATCAGGCTAAATGGAATACTTCATAAATGGAACAACAAGTTCAAAATTCAAAAATACTAATAACCGATAACATATCTACTAATAAGAATAAATAATACATTGTAAATAATAAAAATATGCAAGGGACGCAGAGGGTCTTCCTTCGGCTTGGAAGTATGCCGTTAAAAACTTACAAGAGGCGCATGAACTCTAGTATGATAGAAAGGAAACTCTATTTAGTTAGGATAGACAGTATTAATATTTAGTACTAGTAATATGTTATTTATATTTACATATTTTTATTATTTACAATGTATTATTAATTCTTATTAGTAGATATGTTATCGGTTATTAGTATTTTTGAATTTTGAACTTGTTGTTCCATTTATGAAGTATTCCATTTAGCCTGATGATGATCTATTGAATGGATCGAAAATGTTTCTTTTAATAAAAAATCTCTCAGCGAGTAATAAAGTGTTGGTTACGTATTTATTTATTTTCTGCTGGGTACGATTGTGGTTAATAATAAGTTATTTTAACTGCTCTAAGAGTAAAAAAAAATTCATGCAAACCTAAGAAAAATTATAAAATATCCTGTACATCGTTTAATGAAATATAATTAAGTTTAAAATATATCAGTTTTAAGAAAATGAAACATTCATCTGTTTAAGGAAAATTATTATTTTACAAAAAATTTTTTATACATACACTCCCAGTCAAAATGATCCAGTGTAAAATTCATTTAAAACTTGAAAACTAATTTTTCAAATATTGTAAAAATTTTAACCATTATACTACAAAACATTCTAAGAATGTTTTGTAGTATAATGGTTAATATAATGCACTGTGAAGCACTTCTTTTGACCTGGGAACATTGACAAACTTCATAGCCAAATATTTTGAAAATTTTGACCCCTTTCCACCATCCTGGTTGCCTAGTCTCAAATTACGTAAATAAAGTGTGTTGAGAGTGTCAAATGTCACTAACTTCTTCGGTGAATGGTCTCGCCAAACGACTTAGTAATATGTGATATTCTCACAATTTGTGTTGCTACTAATGTAACTCAAGACATCCTGATGACTCTGTGGCCAGACAAGTGATCACTACTCCTAAAACCATCTACTCTAAGGAAGCCAGACCTCCAGACAGTTTTATTTATTTTATAAATTTAAATATTAAATAGGAGAATAATGAAAGCTTTTAGTAATACTTCTTGAACAAACATAAAACAAAAAACAAACAGTATATCACCATCTGTTCTGTCCAAGTTGTTGTTAACATAAATATCTTAAAGCCGTTTATAATTGTGTCTTCACCAACAATCTTTCACAATTCTACTGTTATTCTTAGAATATGTAAACTCTTTTTATCTATGCAGTTGATTGTGAAAATTAGTCATATTCAATTATATTTCTTTCTTTTCAAAATTATTTTAGTTACAAATTCAAAAAATATTTAATTTCTATTTTTAAATATCTGGGAATCAACCAGCATAAAAGAATTTTTGATTACTTTCTTAGAAATTTTTATAAATCACATTTAAATCATGCCTAGTTGATCAGAAGACTGTACTCAAAGCATTTGTTTTATAGAAAGAAATATATATGCATTGGAATTTATATTATAAGTGACAAATTGTAACTTAATACTAACTTTTTGTCAATATTAATAAAATGAAATTAATAAAACTTATAAAGCAAAATCAAGACAATGTCCTATACACTGGATAATAGGCTACAGAGCATATACTGGTACTTCATGCTAGAGGAAATAGGCTTCCTTGTGTATTTCAAGTGTATTACATGAAGTATACTTGCAGTTTTATGATTATTGAAAACAAAACATAAATTTTGTGCTTTATTTTCACATATCTTATTTTTTTATAACTGTCTAAAACACTTTTTATAAAATCCAAAACATATAATCATATTGAATACAATAAGTTTATAATTACAATAGAAATTTACACTTTACAACAGAATAAATTTTGCTATAAATTTTCAGCAACATCCCCCTAATTTTTGATGGTGGCTTTATTAGTAGAAACTCCTAAAAATAAAATAAAAAATTAAAATTTCTGTAGAAGTTACCAAAACTGGCTGATTCTATTCAATATGATAAAAGCAACAGGCTTAGTTTAAGTAAATGTTTTTTTTTTTTTTTTTTTTTTTTGGAACATCTGTCAATTGATGGCTTTGTTACTAATATTTTGTCTTTTATAGGTAAGAAATATTATTATTATTTAGTCGTTGTTGTTGTTGCTTTTTTAATTACTGGTAGATGCTCTCTAATTTAATTTAATTAAAGTTATTTTGTTCTAATTTTTGTATTGTTTTGTATTTATTGTTTCTTTTACTCCCCACATCATGGAGTGTATCCACTTAAAATAAATAAAATAAAATAATTGATTCTCAGCAATTCTCATCATTCTCAGCGGTAGGTGTTATATAACAATAACTATGGTTGTTGAAATACTGAATATAAATGGAGTTTGCTTGCAAAACCCCTGTGGGCAAAGTTGCAGGTAACAGCTAGTATTCCATATATACAAAAAGTTGGCTTATTTCTAGCATTTATAAGGATGTTTTAAATATGTTAACAGGATGCTGCAAACATATTACAAATCATTGTGTGCTGCATACTTATTATATACCAGTTGAGGCTGCCATAGTTCAGCCTCCACTGGTATATGTAATCAAATAAATCAATGCATGTACTACTATTAAATTTTGAGGTTAATCTAACTAATTAGTACTGCTTTTCACTATTCATGACTGGCAATACTTTTTGATTAATGATTATTATTGATTAATGGTTAATAATCATTACTCATTATCATTCTTGTAGTAAAATAATACAATGTAGATTTATTTAAGTTACAAGTATTACTAATGTATAAACATTACTCATCAATTTTTATGTCAGTAAAAACTTTAGTTTATATCTATGGAACATCCATAAATGATGTCACTCTAAAATTCAATACCTTTAAGATCTCTTTTCCCCTTTCCTCCCATGTCATTTATTGTCACATTATGATAAAGTCCCTTACAAATGATATCACATTGGTTGTGGAAGCTTTTGCATTATTACAATACATTGCATCAATTATGTAATGGAAATATATTAACATAAAATGATTTATTTACACTTTTATTAAAATAAAATACTATATGACAATAGCATTACAATAATCAAAATTTTATTTTTTTATTAGCAAGTTATTTCACTCCCGTGAGTTTATAAGGTGTTCTTCAATTCACACAATGGAAATGTCGGAGGTATATGTGTCCTTGGAAATGCTTTGTCCTGTCATATCACTGTTGTCACCATTTATTCACTCAACATCTTATGCATTATATTTCCTAATAAAGAAATTCCAAACTCAAAGTTGTTTCCTACAGTCCATGACAAACATTACATTCACAGATTTAGAAAATTTCATCAAGTGTCATTTCTCTATGTTTCCTTTTTCTTTGGTAATATTCTAAAAATAAACTTTTAATTTTTCAAAAAATTCAATATTTCTAACAAATCTAATACAGTAAATAACTTTTTAGCTTTGTAAATATGCGTCACACAATCTGGAAGGGAACCTGTTACTGGCGCTCAATGCGTATATATTGTATATCGCTTGACAAACGTTTTCGAGCAATCTGTTCGCTCTTCTTCAGGTCAACTGAAAAATTCCCTGGACGGAGTGTATATTATTCGTTGGGATCAGGTGTCGGTTCCGAGGAGGTGGGTCATTTCTGGCATGTACAGTTGTGTGGTGGGGGTGGGTTGGCGTCTAATATACACTCCGTCCGGGGAATTTTTTCAGTTGACCTGAAAAAGAGCGAACAGATTGCTCGAAAACGTTTGTCAAGCGATATACAATATATACGCGTCGAGCGCCAGTAACAGGTTTCCAGACTGTGTAACGTTGATTTCACCCTGATGCTGAAAGTAGAGCAGTTCCTATATTTGTAAATATAGTTGTGTGCTTGGTCTCAGTCTAATGACTTGATGGATATCAAAGTTCTATGCACTGTACATACAAAAATAACTTGTTTAACTCAATATATCTTAAAAACAAACCTATGACAACTTATGGCTTCATTATAATAGCACAATAATTTCATAATATTACTTATTCTAACATTTGTTTGACTTTAGACTTGTATCTAAAAACATAAACTAATGAGTTATTTGTAACAACTGAATAAAGAGAATGAGATATTGTAAATTTCACACTATTATAGTCACAGAAAGCATGCCAATCATTTTACTATGGCTGTAACACATAGTGTATAAACGAATTACTTAGTAAACTAACTGTATGATACACATTTACTTTTTGTTAAATTTATATAAGAACACTAAAAGATAAGTAAAAAAAAAACTATATTTTAAATGTGACATATTATGTTAAAAAAGCATGATTGATACTGATTAATGGTAAATTTGAAACATGACATCACATAAATCATTTCATCCATCCTTATCACATTCTGAAT